CCCCCCCCTTCCCCCGCCCTCCCTCCTCCTGTAATGAAGTCCCCAGAAGCGCTCATAGTGGAGTGGCCTTGGTAATTATTAGCCATTAATTGGGTTCAGGACCTTGTGCGTCTGAGGAAAAACGGAAAAAGTGACGGCTGAGCCAAAGACGTTTTTCTTTTCAGTTTTTTTAGCCCTTTTCTTCTCCTTTCTCTGCAGCGTTGTTAGCATGCTGTCAGTGACTGCGCCGCCACAGCTACTGATAGGAGGAATCTGGAGGGGCCGACAGGGCAGAGACTGCGCAGATACTGACGCACCGCAGGACGCCTGCACCGGAGCCGCAAGTCTGGAGCTGGCAGTTTAACATCTGCACAGCTATTAAATAGTACAGCCTGTGCATGGCGCACAAAATGGTTCCAGCATATGCGGAGGGGTGCGGAGGATTTATCACTATTTTGATTGGTTTTTAATTAGAGCAAGATTTTTTTTTAGATTTTTATTAAATATATATATATATATATATAATGCACGGTATTTAATGTAACTTGTTTAATTCCATCACTTCTTTCGTATCTTTATCTATATTTTTAAAAATATACTTTCAACTATGTCTAAGAAGAGAATGAATGTACGGGCATTAAAGATTTCGTACGACGACATTTCTTTTTTTTCAGGAAGGCCTAAACAACAACCACAAAAATCAAATTTAAGCCTGTTTATACTATCACTCCATGACAGTAACGAACAGAGAGGCCACGGTGTGCTGTCTGGATCATGGTGTAAACATGGGTCCAATCTTTTTTTTAACATTTAAATTATAATTTTAACTTTAACATGTTATCGGATTAATAGTGATAAAAATGAAAACTATATTTGTTTACTTATTTATATTTAAAAATCAAAGGAAAACGGGACAAAATCTGAATTCAGTCTATGATTTTGGTAGTATTCATCTTAGTATTTATATATAATATTCTGTATTATTTTGTATTATTATGTTTCGATGTTAGGAACCGCCGTTTAAATGGTATCTAAAAAATGTACTACATTAATCATAATATTGTGTTTCCTCCCAGCTTCAGATGTGTCTAAGGTCAGAGATGATGCAGATTTTCTGCACGCCTCAGCTGAAAAACTGCTGACTGGCATTTTTATTGACTGGGTCGTAACTACTGCCACAAACGACGACTATTGTCACAGGAGCCGCAGCTGGTTCAATTATTCACATTGTCAAAAATATTTTTCGTTTGCTCAACGAAGCAAAAAATGTGGAAAACAACTACGTGATTTCTGTAATGACCTGCTCGCGTCCACGAACCAAAAACATCAGGGCTTCTACGAAAAGAGCAACAAACGATATATGTGTGAATGGAAGAAGCTGAAATTCGGTGACTTATAGATCAAAAATATTATAACAATAAATACAATAAATAATATTCTTATATTGGAAAAGATGATCAGTCATCGATTAGTCGACAGTTGGTGGCAGATCAACCGATAAATGTTAAAAAATGTTATTTCATAATTTATTATTTGCCTTAGTATTAATAAAACGTATTAATTAAATATTAATATTAAATATGAATATAAATATAAAATATTGATAATTGCTATTTATGTGAAGATTGCAAAAATAACAATTATTACTATTAAGAACAATAACATTAATCGTTTTACAGGATTTATAAAATGTAAATCTGTTACATAAAAAAAGTGCAGCCTATTCGTCCTCTGCCCCATCATCATTAATGTTGTTGTTTTTAATTAATCGCTAGTTAATGTCGCCATCAATTTCCCCGCAGATCAGAGGAGCAGGGAGGAGGAGGAGGGGAGTACCCCGCACCTCCACCCCCGCCAAACAAATGCGCATTAAAATATCGCCCGGAGGCTGGAGTGAAAATTACCCCGATGTAGAAATGACCTTAATATGATGTAATCAATCACGCTGTCTGCTGGGACACTGGGAATCACAATGTTAATCTTTGAGTTGGGGAGCGGTGGTGGTGGTGGTGGTGGTGGAGGGTGGTGGAATAGCCTGTCATATTTCACACAACTCAGCCAAGAGAGCAGCAGAGTTGGTGCAGGTCCACTGATAAACAGACCAACAGTCCGACCCTGCTCTGCACCGGAAGATGAGTTTGTATAATCAGAGTATTTACAGGAAGCTGCCTCTGGAGCTGCATTTCTTTTCTACTGTACTGTCTATTGTTATTTTACGTTACCATAATTGATACACAAATGTTGACTGTAAAGTTTCTGATGTAATTGTAGTAAACAGACGCCTTCTAAACTGAGGAATATTGCAAAAAATTTGAACTCAGAGCTCACATAAAAAAAAAAAATCCCCATTTAATTTACAGGACATCAACTGTGACCAAATTATTTAGAAAATAAATGGAAACAAGGTTGGACAGGCCTCGAGTTGAATTCTAGGTGACGGAAACCATATACGATGGCAACAGTCGGAGAAATGAAAAGTGCTACAGTGATGTAACAGCTGTTAGTAGCTACTAAAAAGCTGTTAGTAGGCACCCAAGAAAACATGGGCGCAGAAGTTATTAGCACGGGAACACACACGCAACTTGGCAGGTTACAAGAGGCTCATGTGGGCAGCGTGGAGTGCACGCTGAGGCCAGTGCATGTTATCATTAACAACTGTGGACAGATAGAAAAGGGCCGAGCCCACAAGTGTCCATTTCACACCAGCCTGGCATGCGTGGCGGCAGGTTAGGACTCCAGAGAGCCGTCTGCCACCGCCGCCATCGTTCAGCAACCCTTTGAAGCCAACAGTGTCTGAGGTTTCCTGTTCTCATCTTTGAAACCCACTCCACTTGAAGGTCCGACCTGAGACTGATGTTCTCACCTCTACAAAGATCAGATCTGGGATTTTGTTCTCATCATACCACAGTCACAGTCCACTGTTACCAGGTTTCATGTTAGCGCTGACTTGTATTTATGTATAGTACGCCAATTAGTACCTTTGACTAATTAACTACAGACAAATATTATATATATACATATATATATATACAGTATATATATAAACAAATTTAAATGAACAATTTTCAGTTCACTAATTCTCTGGCACACTGGAAACACCCCAGCCCAGTAGATGGCAGCAATATCCAGAATGCAAACAAAAAGATCCAGCAGGAAATAGTGATGTCAAAACATTCATAGAGCATGAGCCTGTATATACATGTACATATATATGTATATATGTAATATATACATACATATAATGTATACATAAAAATGTATACATTATATGTATTAATTTTGCATGTAAGGTTGACAAAAACAGATGTAAAAGAAGCATCATCCCAAGTTTTGACCTTTAGAAATAAGGAACAAATGGGATTTATTACATTCTTCAAACCGATGTGTGAAATTCCCAAAGCCATCTAGAAGTGCACAATCTAAATTCTATCATCGATCAATCATGTGTGAAGAGAAAATCTGGTTTTTCCCAGGGACATGAAGAACATATAACAGCTCCAGATCCCACAGCCTCTATAGGAGCAGTGAAATTACCCTGATGTATTATAATACTGCAAGAGAGGGGTGACATCACTGCAGCCAACTATAGCGGGGCCTCACAACACTCACTCGCTCGCTCGCTAACACACACACACAGACTCATAACCATAAAAATGCTTAGCAGGAGGGATGGGAAAGGCTTTGGTGGCGATGGGTTTTCTCCACCCAGTCCTGAAGCCAAATGACTGCTAATGTGCAGTGTGGCCATATGCTGGAGATGTTGTGTGATGGTGCACTTCTTATACACGCCATATATTTATCATTCATTAACATGAGTATTTAGGTTCAGGTCCCTGCAGTTAAGTTACTGTTTCTTTCACATCTTCAGGTTTTACTTCACATCTGAAGTCGACAGTCTGAGGGAGTGAGGCATAAGTATTACTATCACTTCACTGCATACTTCTCCACCAGTACTGTGCCACTGAATATTAACTGCTATATTCTAACTGCTCCTTATTTTGTCGCTGTATCAAATGTCTTCCCCAAATGAAGAAACCAGTGAACGAAGAGACCAAGAAGCTGCACACTTACACCATCGGCTGAAAACTAAGCCTAAAACACCAACCGCTCCACAACAAAAGCCAATAAAGGCTTCGACAACTGGAGCACAAACGCTGCGAGGAGCACAAACAGGCGTAGCAGCAGCTCTGCCGCACCACTTCCATTTCCATAGAGATTATTTTCTCAACCCCTCCTTCCGACCCCCACCTCCCTCAGACTCCTGTAGCCTGGCAGTGACCAACTACATTATTTATTTATTTGTGGGGTTTTTTTCTGTGTGTGTGTGTGTGTTGTTTTTTGCTACAGTGTTTGTCCGTGCTGCGAAAGTGAATGTGTGTGTGTGTGTGTTGTTGTTGTTGTTGTTCCTGGACTGACAGGATGATTAATAGGAGCTAAATCTTAAGGGTGGTGGGGGGTGTATGTGGAGGTGGAGGTGGGGGCTGGGTGGGCTGCACGGCAAGACATCAAAAACAACAGCACTTCCTGGGGTTGGCTGACACTTTCTCTGCAGAGAACCAAGCCTGCTCCCCAAATTCTCCTCCAGCATCTCGGCCCGGCACCTGGGTCGGATCAATAGGTTTTTGTAGAGTTAATGATACATTTTTATACACACACGCACGAAAACACACAAACACACAGTTATGGAAGCTGGGGGTATAACTGATCAGTAGAAAACAGCATGAAGAGGCAGAAGGAGAAGAAAGAGGGATTTCAGATTGTTGAGTGGAAAGGATGAGTTACAGTTGAAGTGAGACATAGCTTTAATTATACCCAGGATAAATGGAAAAGCTGGAACTGTTGCAGCAGGTGATGTGTTTTAAAGAACAAATTTTTCTTATATAGGGTCAAAGTGTGAACATGAAGCAAGTAGAAAGAAAAAAGGCTGATTAGGAGCAACGCCAGTAAAGACACTAGTGTAGAGACAGACCATAATATTATGAATAATATTACAGCTCCACTACAACACCCTGAGAGTACAGCACAACGCCACAGTCTGCCGCTCTTCTCCAAAGATGGCGGGACACGTTGAAAGACTGCCCTCCTGTGTCAGATGAACAAACACATGTTGCACAATACACTAATATTCACGTCAGCCTCCCTCTCTCGCCCCTCTCTCTCTCCTTCTCTCTCTTAGCCCTTCCTTCAAATACTGTATGATTTGAAACTAAATGTTTTCAAGGCAGTCAGATTTAATCATTTAAATATACTGGCTCATTTATTTCCAAATCAGAATAATTGATTTTTTTTTTGTTCATTCAATACAGTATAAAGACTGTATAATGCTACAGTTCAAAAAGCTACAAATCAGTTTGTTCATTTTAAAATCTTTACATTTTTTAAGCATTTCTATAACTGTAAAAAACATACAAATTGATAAATTATAAATTGTCATTGACATCCAGTCACAGGCCATGTGTGAGGAGCTCACGTGCCAAAAGCGGTCTGAGGCCAGGGGTTTGAGATCTGGTTTAAAGTAAGCCTCAAACTAGCAATTAGCTAAAATAACTGGAATTTTCCCAGAATCACTAAATACTTAGCCAATAGTGAACCAGCAAATGGCAAAATGCTAAAACCGACAAAGAAAAAAAACTACAATTATATATATAATTTATAACAAAATCGGGATAATTTAAAAAAATCTAAAGTGAGTCTTTAGCATGGTAATGTAAAAGTTAATTAAATATCAGCCAAATGCTTTGAAATGTCAACAATTATGAAATTGGAAATATCAATGTGTGCTTGAAACATATCCAGGAGGAAATTTTAATGTTTAACTCTCCTGACACATAAAACCCANTATATATATATACTGTATATACAATAAGCATATGAGAAAGTTGGGTTCCAACAGAACATCATACAGACCCCAGTTCCCATGTTTCTGCCTGTTTCCTTGTGTTACCTCCAGTAATCATGAGTGAGAGGGAAACAAACAGTGGATTTTAAGAGGCTGTCGTCCTCCACTTCTGCTCTTTTCCAGAGTGGTGCCGTTGCCAAATCCCTCAGCATGTTTAACAATTCCATTACTGCCGTGCAGAACACCCACACTTCTCCTTTAAAGCCAGGGCATTTACGCAGAGAAAAAAAAAAATTTATTGACTTCAGATTGTTACCACTTGGGCCTTCTCCTCTCATTTCTTAGAAGAAGCTCTAATGTCAGTGTACAGCCTGTGCAGTTGTGAGGCGATTTGTTTTCAGGGGTCTCCGCTCAGATGTGGCGTCTCCAGAGGAGCGCTGAGTGACAATTGCTCGGTGTGATGCAGGCATGTAAATGTGAGCCTGCACGCTGGTAATTGCTCATCACTGGAAGGGGTTTTATTTGGCAGGGTGGTTTCTGTTAACATTCAATGGCTTGTTTTACAATAGAGAGCTCATCTGTGCACCAAATGTGTCACGTGGTGAGACGGGAAAGATTCAGTCTTTTTCGGGCCAGGCCAATAAAGTGTGATGGATGATGGGATTGGTGATACACCCTGTCCTGGTTTGCTT